CTGGCTATTGATTGTGAAAACTGATAAACATCTTTTACTACTGTGATTATGTAACTATTACTCACTTAATACCATCATTGTATCATGATTGGTCAACAGAAAAATAATAGAATTCTGTATCACCAAAACTGCTATTTAATAGAAAAACTTGTAACCACTTTTTAAAATCCAGATGCATGTGAGAATTATCTTGGAATTTGGTAAAAAATACAAATGCCCAGGTACTACTTTTTTTCTTCAAAACCCCAGATATGTTTCTAATGAGCAGCCATGTTTAAAAACAACTGGACTATATGATGATCTTTTATTTTTATATATTCCATATTCAGTGCTCCCATTTCACTTAGTTTCTGTTTTCCAATTTCTCCAACTTTTCTCTTTTTTTTCTTTTTGAAGTTCCTTCTCAAGTCTTTACCAAGTGCAGTAGAAAAGCTTTCGTATACATACCTATGTGTGTGTGTATCTATATAGTATGTGTAATATATATATATTTTAGAAAACATAAATTTTGTCTAACTAAAAAAATTATGACATTTTGATTCCACTTGATTTTGTATGACTAGAATGCTAGATTTCTAATTTAAAAGAAACAGCAGATATACAACAAGCAACAAAGGTATACCATATAGCACAGGGAACAATAGTCAATATCTTGTAATAACCTATAATGGAAGATAATCTCAAAAATAATATCTGTGTGTGTATAACTGAATTACCTGCTGTGCACCTGAAACACGGTAAGTGAACCATACTTCTATAAAATATATATATTAAGGAGAAAAAAAAGAAGTCTGGGACCAATATATTTTCAGTTTTATAAAGAATTCTCATTACATTTCCATTTCACTCATCATGGTGGCCTTTCTTAGATTATTTGACTTTTTTAGAGTAGGAGGAGCTATAAGTAAGAATTCCTATCTATTCACTAACCATAGGTATCAAAATGAACAAACAAAAACAAAACTCTAAGGTCAGTTAAACTAGCCAAAGACAAAGCATTTTCCTATGTGTACATTGAAAAGAAAATCTGATTTCTCATCTACCTTCTTTCTCCCTTTCTTGCTTACAGAAAAGAAGTGGAATAATAATATATATAACGGGCTTCCCAGGTGGTGCAGTGATAAAGAATCTGCCTGCCAATGCAAGAGACTCAACAGTTACAGGTTTGATCCCTTGGTCAGGAAGATCCCCTGGGGGATGAAATGGCAATCCACTCCAGTATTCTTGCCTGGATAATTCCATGGACAGCGGAGCCTGGTGGGCTTTACTCCACGGGCCCACAGAGAATTGGACACATCCAAGCAACTGAGTATACGCGTGCACACACGTACTAAAAGTAATAATAATATACATAACACGATGCTAAATATAAACTACTAAGTTACTCAAAACCCTAGCGGATAAAATTAGCTATCAAGTACTAGTACTAGTGGTCTGATCTGCATTTAGTAAACATTATTAGTCAGAAAATCCAAGGTCAACACTGTTCAAAGGTGAGATTCATTTAGCTTCATCATTCTTGAATATTAAGCCTAAGAAGAATAAAACAGTTAAATACAAAGTAAATACCCTGCTAGAAAAGATGCGAATTTCTTAAATACGCTCACAGATGAGTACTACGGAAGTGATGGAGTGTCAAAGTATACAAATTGAACATATTATATTGAAAATAATATATTAATAATTCCCAAATAAAACAAATTGAGATCTTTTGTATGTGTATACACATACAATAATAATGTAACTAAATGTAAAGCACTTAAAATTGCAAATAAAAATTTTTAATTTTCTCTTAAAAATGATTTTATGTATCTTTTTAAGCAGTAGTTATAGAATAACAGCTAAAACTGAATGAGTTATATCACAAACCTGAAACTGTGGGATTGTCATTTCAAAGGACTTGTTCTTCACTTGTCCTGAATGATCTGCCACTTTCAGCATCACTGCAACATAAGGATACTTAAGGGATCTGCAACTGTCAGAGCTCACAGCCATACCCAGCTTCCACTGAAAATCTATGAGCTGTAATGAAAGAATTCACAATAATACACCAGTTATAACATTGCCCTGAATGCAGGCATTTATTCAAATTTACTGCTCTCGAATTCAAGTTTTAACTTCAAGGCCAATCATAATAAAACAAAATGCCTTCAACTTAATATTGTTAGGGGGATAATAATCAAATGAGCATGGAGAGAGGCAAAGGGACACAAACGGCGTTGGAAAACAACAATACTGTCATGATTACAGAAGGGAAAACACAAAAACAAAATTTTCCACCAGATGCGTAATGGAGGGAGATGTGTCAGTATCATTTTCCTGTTTTTTCAGTCTGCTTCTGTCCTTAACGGGACTTTTGAATCATCTCTTATCTCATTTTCCTGTTCCACATATGTCCTTCCCGCATTTCACAACCCGGAAGTCCTAAAATGGAACATGCGTTATATACCATCTTCATATTTGACTGAGGCACACATGAGAACCATTCGTTTCCTTCCTCACCTCAGTCCTTGACCTGAAACCTTAGGCTATCATAAATACTGGGGAAGGTGGTTTTAGATTTCATCACTGCTGACGGATACCTGTCAGGTGATATGCTAGGCAGTCTACATGCATTAAATGCCACACTGAACCATCATACCATTACAGGCTAGTATTTCCATTTTGCAGATGATAAAACTGAATTTCAGAGAGCTGACATAATACGCACAAGGTCACAGATTTCTGGACTCATAGCTGAAACCAAAGTCTTTTGACTCCAAAGATTACATGCTTATTGACTACTGGGTTCCTCAATACTTTCCAGCTAATTCTTTTCTGATTGCTCAGTGTTTCCATGACACAAAGCAGGACTGGAGAAATGCAGCCCTTAATACAGAGCTCAAACCTTAAGACAGTACACGGAAGAAAATTTTGTATCTTGTACCCAAAGCTTAGGCAGATAGGTAGGACACAGTAGGCATTTACCAAAAATACCTATTGACGAATACCTTTTGCGACCAAATGAATGCTTACTGGGCAAACAGCTTTACTTTTTATAAAAGGTGGGTTTAGTATAAGGACCAAACTTTCCTCCCATCTTTAGACTGGCTTTAGACGAAATCAACTACAGTATGAAGGCCAGGCTGGTCCTGATAAAAGGTTAACATCTTTGATAAGTAAAAAGACTGTATAGGTCCTTTTTAAATAAAAAGTTTCCCATACAAAAATAGAGAAAGGATAATGGGTAAACAAGAAAAGAACTACAAGCTGATAAATATATGGAAAGGAAACAGGAAAATGCACATTTAAACCACAAAGAGATATCACTACACACCCACCAAAATAGCACAATTTTAAGTTTGACGATTCTAAAACTGGAATGGAAGGATGTGTCACAGTGCACTGATGATAGTCTAAACTAGGCCAGTCTTTCAGAAAATTAGCTTCACTTAAACTGAAGTTATACATGTCCAGAGATCCAGTCAGTCAATTACTAGGGATAAAACCTAGAAAAACAAGATACTTATATAATAAAGTTCTCAGAAGTTATATTCAAAATAGCCCTAAACTACAGATAACTCAGATGTTCATCAGTAATAAATAAAATACTGCACAGCAATGAAAATGAATGAACTTCAGCTACCCTTAACACAAAAAAATCTTGAAAGAGACAAGTCAAAAATTTAATTATTCCATTCACTTAAAACTTGAAAAAAAGGAAATGTGATTTTTTACAGATGCGTACACAGATGGCAAAACTATGGAAAAAAGCAAGACTATGATGATTACAAAAGAATAATCATTACCTCCAGGGAGGAAAGTGGAGGATATTTGATTGGCGAGGGGCATATGGTGAGCTTCTAGAGTACTGTGTGGCAGTGGGTTAGTCACTAAGTTATGACCGACTCCTGCGATCCCATGGACAGTAGCCTGCCAGGCTCCTTTGTCCATTGGATTTCCCAGGCAAGAATCCTGGAGTGGACTGCCATTCCCTTCTCCAAGGGGTCTTCCTGACTCAGGGATCGAACCCGCATCTCCTGCACTGCAAGGGGATTCTTTACCTCTGAGCCACCAGGGAAAGGTAGTGGTACTGTTGTATTTCTTGCATTTTGATTGTAATTACATAGATGTTCACCTTTATATTACCCATTTTTTTGGTAACTATTTGAGGAGATGGAGGTTAATTAAATATACTGTGGTAATCGTCCTGCAGTATATGTATGTCAAGTCATTATGCAGAGCTGTATTTCAATTATATCTCAATACAACTAGAAACAATAAAATTATTCATTAAACAATTCCTATGTCATGTATGTTTTGGTATATATGTTACCTTGCACACGTAGCAGAAGAAGGGGAGGATATGTCAGTGAGCTCCACATTTCCGGTTGAAAGGAAAATTTTATTGAAAGGAAAGCATTAGTGGGGATAAAGTTCAGGTTTGAAGAATAACAGAACTGAAAATGAGAGGGAAAAAAATGTTTTATATATTCCTTAAATATACACTGAGCAAAGATCTAATGCTTGGTAAATATTAAGCTGAACCAACTAGAGATGAAGACAGTTGATATCTGGCTAAGGGGCAGAGCATTTATCTGTCTTCAAGTGAAAGGTTCTTATAAGAAAGTATGGAAAATAAAGCTGACAAAAGTTCAAGAATCAAGAAGCCATAACTTTTTGCAAAATTGTACAAGTTTTCAAAAGTTTTCAAAATACTCTCATTTAGAGTTGACTCTTTAAAAATGTGGGTTTGAATGCAGGGATCCACTTACACACAGATGCTTTTTAATAGTAAATAGCAGAGTACTACATGGTCTGCAGCTGGTTGAATCCACATATAGGCAGAGGAACCCAGGATATGGGGAACCAACTATAAATTACATATTGACTAATCTCTATACTGTTCAACAGTCAACTGTATTTTATCTTATTATGAAAAACATTATCATGCCAGTCATTTAAACTTTTTCAATTGGCAATGGGTACTCACTAAAAGTTTCTGAGTACAGAGAACAGTATGAAAGTACTGATTTAAAAATATTCATCTGGTGGCAGCAGAACACAGTAATCCAGGTTCAAGGTTTTCTGTACCGGAACTACAGTGGTGACAAGTAGGATTAAGTTTATCAATAAAAGAATGACTTGACAGGTCTTGATGATTGTATGCAGGGTTAAGGGAGGTATCAAACACAACTATAAAAGTTTGAGCCTGAATGACTAGGAGAATATATCATATAGGAACCAGGACTTTTCATATTTTAAGTCTAAAAGTATTATCCAAAAGTGATAATTAATCTTTATGAGAAAAGAATTTAAAAAACAATGAATATATGTATATGTATATATAACTTAATCACTTTGCTGTACATCCAAAACACAATATTGTAAATCAACCATACTCCAATAAAATTAACAAAAAAAAAGGGGGTAAGGAATATCTAAATAGGAATGTTCGCTAAGCAGCTAGAAATTCCAGAACAGACCTCAAAGGAGTTCATGATTAGAGATATCATTGTATATCAGTTAGATGGTGACATTCAGAAACCTAACCAATCATTTTTTAAATGTATTTGGCCATACAACTCATTGATGCAAGAAGTTATATTTTTACTGGCCACAATAAAATGATAGAGTAAAATATTGAAAAGTCTGAAATAAAACTCTGGATTATCCAGAACATTTCAAGCAGAACAGCAATTAAAGAATGCAATGTTGGAATTCACTGACCATTATGATGGTGGAACTGGCAGATGGGAAAATAGGGAGAGCTGTCATTTACTGTGGGGAAAAAGAGCTTTTTACATGGGGAAAACAGCTGGGATTAAGTTTATGGGATGAGAATTTCCCAAATTATAAACTGAATATTTACATGCAAATTAAAAACAAGACTTCTAATAAGAGTGGTTGAGCCTTAAATAGGAATTAGCTGCAGACAAGATTTTCAAAAGAATAAAAAAGAAAAAAAAAAAACCAGGGCTATGGAGAATATTAAAAATAAAGCAATATAGTTCAAATTTCTTATAGAATGAAGGAAACAATTTTAAAAGAAAAAATACAGAAAAACCCAGTAGTAAAAAATTAAAAAAAAAAAGAATATCCATAAGTAACATGAATATAAAGAAAAAAAAACAATCAAGATGCAAGTATAGCTAAAAAGATAAACAAAAAAATTAACTGTAGTCTGTCACACTAAAATTAGTTGACAAGCTGGCTTATATCTCAACATTCAAAAAACAAAGATCACGGCATCTGGTCCCATGACTTCATGGTAAATAGGTGAGGAAAAAATGAAAACAGTGGCAGATTTTCTTTTCTTGGGCTCCAAAATCACTGCGGATGGTGACCTCAGCCATGAAATTCAAAGACACTTGCTCCTTGGAAGAAAAGCTATGACAAACTTAGACAGCATATTCAAATATTCAAAAGCAGAGACATCATTTTGCCTACAAAGGACCATATAGTCAAAGCTATGGTTTTTCCAGTAGTCATGTATGGATGTGAGAGCTGGACTATAAAGAAGGCTGAGCATCAAAGAACTGATGCTTTTGAATTGAGATGCTGGAGAAGATGCTTGAGAGTCCCTTGGACAGCAAGGAAATCAAGCCAGTCAATCCTAAAGGAAATCAACCCTGAATATTCATTGGAAGGACTGATGCTGAAGCTGAAGCTCCAGTGCTTTGGCCACCTTACACAAAGAGCCAACTCATTGGAAAAGGCCGTGATGCTGGGAAAAGACTGAGGGCAAGAGGAGAAGGGGTTGACAGAGGATGAGATGGTTGGATGCCATCACCAACTCAATAGGCATGAGTTTGAGCAAACTGCAGGAGATAATGAAGAACAGGGAGGCCCAGCATGCTGCAATACATGGGGTCACAAAGAGTTGGACACAACTTAGCAACTGAACAATAACAAGAAATTATGGCTGAAGTTATCAGTAACATGAAAACATCACAAAACTGTGTACAAAGAAAAAAATTTTAAGAACATTTCAGTTTAAATTTAACTTTTATTTTTCAAAACACAACCTAGGAGAACATTTA